TCTCTCTCTCTCTCTCTCTCTCTCTCTCTCTCTCTCTCTCTCTCTCTCTCTCCCTCTCTCTCTCTTACATCTATCCATCTATCTATAATCCACCTAAGTATCTATGTATTTACCTATCACCAGTTATCTCTCATCTAGTTCATCTCTGTGTCTGATCTCTCTTTGTGTGTCTATTTGTCTCAAGTCCTCTGACACTTAAGCAGACTCTGAATAGCTTTCCTTTCAAATCACTATTTGAAAACCTCCTCTCTAAAGTCAGTCTTTGAACATATCCAACTCAGCTAGATTATTGACTATTTGGTTTGATATAAATATATATAGTAGGAATTTACATATATGTAAAATATATAAATTTGATATATTGAAATATAAAAAATAGGGACTGAGATATCTACATTGAACAAAAATATGTTATAGATTTATTAAAAAACAAACAGAAAAACTCTCTGATGGGTTTATGATACCACTTAATGGTACCATTTTATTTCCTTTAGTATAGAATTCATTATTTTGTTTAGTCGAATTCATGTAATGAGTTTATATTGTCCATCTCCTTTCTCTTTCATCAATGGAATCATTTTCAATATTTTTAATTGCTTTGAAGGGTAGAGATTAGGGAGAAACCTTAATCTAATCCAAGTCAAATGCTCACAGCTGAAAGTTCATAGACCCTGGGGTAAAGTCTGCTATTGTTAAAGTCTGTTGCACTGCTAAACAGTCATGCTGTCAAATTGCCTTTTAAATATTAATGTTTATACCTATAGATCTGACCTGTCTGCAAACTTGGGTTAGTGCTTTTTGCAGTGGGCAGCAGTCAGTGGAGAGATGCAATAACCGGTCAGACTGGAAAACAAGACACTAGATGCTTAGCCCTAAGTGGGACACCTGTATTAATTCCTCCTCACAACTCTGCATCATGAATCAGGAAATATCACAGACCTATAAGCAGAAAGAATGGGGAGGAGTGCTGTAAAATGCCTTCTTACGGGCAGGACACGTGGATCACATGCATGAACTCCTGTCAGCTGACCTATGAGAGCTCTGTAGGATCAAGCCAGTCAAGATCCCAGGGTCACTTCTGAGTAGCAATTGATGGTTGATAATTGCTGGGAGAGGGAAACCATGTCTTTTTGAGGATGCAGTCACAGGGAGGTGTCCCATGATCCAGTGGGTAGCATTAATAGACTTAGTGGGTTACAGAAAAAACAAAAGACAGACGTGGGAGAGGGATATTATGGCTATGCTGAAAAGGAAAGAAAGAGTAAATATGGTCATATTTCATTCTCTATATACTTGAAATTTTCAAAACTAAAGAAAAATTTTAATTACGTATCTTTTAGATTAAAATATAATTAAATATAATCATTTCCCCCTTCTCTTTCCTCCCTCCTATCTCTCCCGTGTAACCCTTCTTACTTTCTTTCAAATTCAAGGCTGCTTTTTCTTTGTTTACACACACAGACCCTTCAACAAGAAAACATTTTAAAAATTATAGTTATATGTCTCTATAAAATTACAGTATTAAATCTACACAACAAATTCTGCAACTCAGGCTCAGGGAATTTAAAAGAAGAGGAGCTGGAGTGATTTTAAGAACCAGAGGATCAGGGAGCTTGTTATGAGACTGTCTCCTAATAATGTCTGAAGCTAGACATATAAAGTCTCCCAAACAATACTGTCTAAACAGCAGCTGAATAAGGACAACAATAGACATGCCAACGTGGATAGGGGAACACCCACAAGGCCCCGAATCTACACAAAGAACTACAGGCAACTAAGGAATGCTGAGAGCAGTAGAAATAGTCTTCTACAGAGAGAGCACGCCAAATGTTTATTCAGTACCAAATGGTAAGTCCTGAAAACAAGAAAACAGTTTAACAATCACTGTTGCATTTCTTTCTAATAGAAATATATCTGTGTGTAATTATAGTATTGAAATAATACTGATAAGCACTAATCTTTTTCTCACTATTCTCAATCATACATTGCATGAAATACATAAATTGAGGAAAGAAATGAAGAATACTATGAGCCCTTAGGCTGTTTCTTCTATTGTATTTAGTTAGTATTAGATCCCATGGAGCTGGGAGAGTAGCACATGTCTATAATCCCAGAAACTCTGGAGGCCAAAGGAGAATGATCCCAAGTTTGAGGCCAACTTGGAATATGTGGAGAGATCCTGTACAAAAATAAAAAATTTAAGTCTGTGAATATAGCTCATTCGTAGATGCTAGCCAAAAATTCACAAAGTCTTGACTTCAATACCCAGTGCTAGACACGCATACATGTTCACACAAACATGCATATATACATGCATATACACATATATACACAAACATACATACATACATACATACAGGCAAAATACTCATATGTTGCCTTACTTACTGTTCTTTTAATGTGAGGAAGACATGATGACCAGGTACCTGAACAGAAAGCATATTTCCTGCCTGCCTCTTTCCATCTGTCATTGCAACACAAAAATATAAGGTAAAAGGAAAATGATGTTAGTGATACTTTTAGTAACATCAATGTGTGTTCAGGATGAACAAACATCCCTTTTGCTAATCTTTGAACAAAAGTCCACTGCTAACACTGTGAGAATTAAGACTCCTTAGATCAACATTGCGTTTGTAGATTCCATGTGTCCTGTCTCTACTACTCTACTTGTGTATTTAAATTTACAACAAAGGTAACCATATCTCATCAAATCCAGCTTTTCTAGAATACTTCATACTTCACAGAAAATATGATGATATCTATTTATACTCATGTTTACTTTAAATCCAATTGTTTTGGAAGAGGGCTAAGAGGATTACATACCATAGCTAATTCACCCAGAATCTGACATATTCAGAACTTCTTGTGTTCAAAACCTCGTGTCAGAGAAGCATGGACATTTTAGTTTTGAGACAAGCTCTCTCTATGTAGTTCTAGCTGTTCTTGAACCCTTGTAGACCATGATGCCCTTGAACATAAAAGACATCTGCAGGCCTCTCAAGTACTAGGATTAAGGGCATGTGCCAACACACTGGGCTAAGTATTTGTTTTGATCATTGAGAATATCTATGTAATAATCTAACCATTACATGTAGCTGAGGTAATTTAAAGACAGGTAATGAGGGCCGGGCGGTGGTGGGCGCATGCCTTTAATCCCAGCACTTGGGAAGCAGAGGCATGTGGATTTCTGAGTTCAAGGCCAGTCTGGTCTACAGAGTGAGTTCCAGGACAGCCAGGACTGTACAGAGAAACCCTGTCTCAAAAAACCAAACAAAAGAAAAACAAAAACAACAACAACAACAAAGACAGGTAATAAGATAGTAAGAAAACTAAGTTCCAGTTCCCTACAAGTACTGTCAATGTGCTGCCTTGGGAGGGGTTTTGGTTCTCCTTGGGGCACAGATTCTTCAATGTGTGAAACGTACATAACAGCAATGACACTCATTTAAAGGCCAATAACAGTGAACACAGCAGCCCTTATCTCTGCTCTTCCAGGTCCAGGGACAATCCAGACTAGCTGTTGACTCTTCAATGTCATGGAGCTAGCTTACATCTCAATCACTCAACCCACTTAAGCACAGAATGTTAAAAAAAAAGATTTCATAAGAGACAATTTATCATAGTCTTATGCAGGACTCTATATCTTCATTCTTAGGGATTGCTTCCATTTGGGATGTGAACAATACAATGTTTGGGGTATTTGCCAGCTAGTCCCAGTGAGTGTTTTCCTCTAGACTCCCAACAGTGTTTAGCATACAGGAAATAAGTACGTTCTGATGGTCAGTGAAATAGGAAATAAATAGATTGGAATTAATGTCAATCGTACCATTGTATCAGTATCTTCAATCAGTTTTCTTTTGTTTCATATATTATTTACATAATGATCATTTTAAACCATAGGCTTACAATATGCTGCCAGAGAATGTCATGGATGCGTTTTCAGAGTTTTGTCATTCCTTCAGTTTGGAGAAACTAAAACCAAAAGGAAGGCTGTGTTGCTTTGTGAATGTAGATGGTGAGGAAAGATTAGTTTCTAGGAAGGTTGGTAGGTGAAAGTACTATTATGGTGTTCATGGAATTCAAAGTGGTATACCTGGCTGCAGTCTGATTCTGGGAGCATAGGATTCTTGCTGCAGATTAGCAGCAAAGGAGAAAGCAGCAGCAAGTCTTCCTGAAAAGTCTCCTGATGCAACTGTGTTTGAAGCTTTCATACACCTACCCAGGGGGAACACTGGTCCTCAAACTCCCACAGTCTCTGCCACTTCCTGGTCCCTAGGCTCAGAAAAGAAAAAAAAAAAAAAAAAAAAAAGCGCTGCTCGGAGATCCCTGAAAGTGCAGCCCTCGCATCCAAAATATTGTTGCCCTGTTCTCTCACGTGGCGAGGCCGGGTCTCACTCCAACACAGAGCATTAGGGTTGTCGCTTGGGGCTATCAGTGTGGCATAGAGCAGCGATGACACCTCGAGGTGCTTAGGACTCAGAGCTCCAGGATTGTCCGGGTAGCTGCGGTGGCAGTGAGGTGCCTGATGGGGAAGGGCCGGGAGGCGGAGACTAGTACGGCCTTAGGGCGCTGTCACCTGCCCAAGGGCGGAGCCAGGAAGGAAACCAGCCTTTCTCCGGTCTCACACATACACACACAGGAGTCTAGAGAACCTTTCTTGGCCATGCAGAGCTCCAAAGGAATCGAGAACCCGGCTTTCATCCCTTCCAGTCCAGACACCCCACGCCGTGCGTCTGCTTCGCCCTCCCAGGTGGAGATCTCTACTGTGGCCTCCAGGAATCAGAATGGGGGTTCGCAGCCTCGGGAATCTGAGGAACCCCAGAAGTCAACTGAGCTATCTCCGCCTTCTTCAAATCCCCCAGCTTCTGATGAGCCGCAGGGGTCACAGCTAAGTGAGCTTGAGGAGGGACCTTGTGGGTGGAGGAACTTCCATCCCCAGTGTCTCCAGCGCTGCAACACGCCCCAAGGCTTTCTGCTTCACTACTGTCTCTTAGCCCTAACGCAAGGTAAAGTCCAGCGCCAGCTTCTGGGGACTTTGGGTGAGCGGGTGGTTGGGTGGGGTCGAGCTTGGGTAGAGGAAAAGGCAGGTGCAGGGGAACTCCACCAACTGGACCGGCTTTGACTCCGCTCTAGGTAACCCCCACCCCCACTTCCCCATGCCTAGGTTTGGAACTTGAAGACACTCTTGCCTGCGAGTCTTCACCGCATTCTGCATGGTCCATATTTTAGCCCACCTTCCCACCTCCCATAACATTTTTACTAATTGTGTTCTGCCTCATTTTGGCAGCGTGAATTTGTCTAGGGAAGATTCTGAGGATCCTCCTTTGGGAAAACGATAAGTCATAGGGCAGTCTGGTCTGTGTTTTAAAACCAATGGAATTATTTAACTGGGATCTAGGGAAGGGATTTGTTTATTTGTTTGTTTTTACAGAGGAAGGATTAAAAGCTTTGCAAATAGGAGTGGACTGATTTTCCAAAATAGAAGGAACTAGGATAGAAGTACTTAAATTATGTAGCATAGATTAGAAGTAGGCAATCTTATTTTCTCAATATTTGAGAAAGTGGAGACATGTGCAGTCCTGTGAGTAAATGAGAAAAGGCTTCCAGCCATGCAGGGTGAACCTTAATCAGCTCTTCAGTCTCTGGAGTTATCCAGTGTCTGTTTGTTCTAGGAGCCCTTTTAAATTCCTTTGGGAGTAACAGATTAAGCCTAGATTTATCCCCCCTGGAGTTTGCAATCTAAACTGAGTTTCCTTGAGTGTGGTGGGGGGAGGGAGGGAGGTGTTTCTTGAAAGGGAAGCAGAAAGGAAGAAGTTGCTGGGCTGGCGTTCAACTCAAGGGATAGACTAAATGGGAAGTTCTTCTAAGGAGACAATCTGAAGAGGGATGGGCAGAAGGTGGGTCAGCTTGAAGGACATGTTGAAAGTGAAGTAGAATTTGGTATGCAGACAGTTTTGCCATAATCCCAAACAATTTTGTAACAGTCAAGGATAGGTTGAAAGGGATGAAGCCCAAGAGATAGTGGGGGGTTACTGAATATTTTTCTCTGCTAAATTAATAGAAAACGAGACTGACATCTCTTGCCTTCTGTTCTTATTTTATTTCTGTTTTCCCTGCTTCAAGATTCTCAGTGCCTCTTTTTTGTTTTTGTTTTTTCTTCACCCTCTGGGTGCTAAGTAAACATTTGTTGACACTGAAGTAGGCTTCAGCTCCTTTCCTGAAGATTTTTGCTATACTTGGTTTCCTTTCCTTATCCCAACATAGTTTCATTCTAGTTATGTCTTGGTTGTAGTTAATCTCAAACTAGTGGTAGCGGAGAACAGTTGCTAGAGCAGTATAGAATTAAAAAGTAAGGTATGTCTTGTGTTTTACCTTAAATTTTACTCTGCAATGTCTGTTTCCCCAAAAAACTTTATATTCAACATAAACTATTAAGTTATTATCAAATAGAATTGGTACTCTCAGGAAAAAGAAAAGTGTGTCTGCTTTAGTTTAAAGGTTCATTTACTTTAGTTTAAGAAAAATAATCTGAGAAGAAAATAGCCCAATGTATAAGTTTATGCCCAAGTTGAGTTTCAGTGACTGAATGTGTATTGTGGATCTCACTACCTTTGGGAAATCTGGTTCCACTATATGTTAATAGATGTTTGATTAAGAAGAAAAATCACTTAAGGAATGAGTTTAACAGATATCCCTCAAAGGCAATGGTGTTTCTCTACTTCCCAGGGAGTCTCCTGTCCTCAAACATTACAAAGCAGAGTCATAGTCTGCTTTCTTTCTCAGCTAATTCAAATGCAGTGCTTTTGGAATGTGTGTGACATAGAATTGGAGATTCATAGGGTCAAATACTATCTTCTTACAGATATTCACAAAATGAAGGTTTACTAAAGGTAGTGATATCTGGTAACTAGTTATTATTTATTTTTATTTTATTTTTACTTTATTGAGAAAAGAGTTTTCTATGTACTCTGACTATCCTGGAACTCATTTTGTAGACCAGACTGGCCTCTAACTCACAGAGATCTGCCTGCCTCTGTCTTACCAGTCCTGGGATTAAAGGCATGCGCCATTAGGCCTAATGTGACTAATTTTTAATTAGGATTGTAGGTATACTGGAAGGTTAAAGTTCGGGTGGGAAATTTTTCATATTATCAGGTAACTATGTCTTTACAAATGTCGTTTTTAGGTGCTTTGCATATTTCATTTTACAATCTCCAAATTGCTAATTGGTTTATAGTCTTTAAAAGGAGCAACAAACAAACACAATTTTAGGACCTTGAAAAATATGATATCAATTTTGTCAAAATATATTTTCAGTCACAGTCTTTTTTTTTGTTTTTGTTTTTGTTTTTTGAGACAGGGTTTCTCTGTGTAGCTCTGGCTGTCCTGAAACTCACTCTGCAGACCAGGCTGGCCTCGAACTCAGCAATTCGCCAGCCTCTGCCTCCCAAGTGTTGAGATTAAAGGCCTGGGCCACCACTGCCCTGCTTCAGTCACAGTCTTAATAAAGCAACAGTACAGACTGTAGATATTGTGAAATGTTTATATTCTGCCCAATAAATGATGAATATAATACTTAGCTCATAAGCACAATCAATAAAAATTTGTCATTGCTTTTGGTTTTTCACTTATTTTCACATTTCTGCTCCAATAGATTTAGCCTATGTCTGGACAAGACATCTTGATATCAGTCAACACTGAACACTCACTCAACCTTCTTTACCTCCTAGTTCTGTATTCCTCTTATTAGAGGCAGGTGGATTGTTCATAGCTTTTTCTTCTATATTTTACTTTGAATATGATTTAGAACATTGGTGGTCAAAATGATACTTAGATTTTGTTTATTTTTAATCCTGAACTTTGAAATGATTCATCTTAAAATGGCCCTGGTGTGCCCACCTATAATCGCAGCACGTGAGTAGCCAAGCCTGCAGGATCACTGATTCTAGGTGAGCCAAGGGACTTCAAAGTACCATATCTCAAAGTGAGTGAAGGAAGCTTTAGTATTTGTGAAAGTGTTAGAAGAAATAGACTTGAGAGCTCAACTTCCTCTTCTTGAACTTAGTTCAGGGTGAGTTGAAGTTACCAATAAATACAGCTGGGATTAAGGAGGTAATTGAACCTAGTGGTAATGTCCACTCTAGTATTTGCTGTACTCTTGCCAGAGAGTTTTGTGGAGAGGAGTGTCCTGAATGAACCTAAGAACTCTCAAGCAAACTGGTTTCATGGGACTTTACCAGTCTGACTATTTTCGGTAAATTAGAGAAAAGTGAATTTAGACAAATAGCTATAAGTTAGTACGTAGTAAGTATTGCTTTTGTTGAACACCTGAAGATGTGCCAATTTAAAATGTGAAAGGTAAAATGACTTTGGAGAAAGCATGTTTGGACTGCCTAACTTTGATACTTGAGAGACTTCTGAAACTGAGCCTGACAAATACTGAGGCAGATGCTTGCAGCCAACCATTGGACTGAGCGTGGGGACCCCAATGGAGGAGTTAGAGACAGGACTGAAGAAGCAGAAGGGTTTGCAACCCCATAGGAAAAACAGTAATATCAACCAAACAGACCCCCTCCCAGGGATCCCAGGGTCTAAACCACCAACCAAGGAGTACACATGGAGGGACCCATGGCTCCAGCTGCATATGTAGCAGAGGATGGCCTTATCTGGCATCAATGTGATGGCACACCCTTGGTCCTGTGGAGGCTCTATGCCCCAGTGTAGGGGAATGCTAACATGGTGAGACAGAAATGGGTGGATGGGTTGGGGAGCACCCTCATAGAAGCAGTGGGAGGGGATAGGGGATTTTGGGGGGGCAGGAAAGGGGATAACATTTAAAATGTAGATAAAGAAAATATCCAAAAGAAAAAAAAAACAGAAAAAACAATGAAGCAAAGCCCAGTGGTCTTCCTTGCTGATGGGGTATATAGCAAAGCTGTAACAAAGCATTTTCTCTTTTTCAGGTATTGTAGTAAACGGCCTTGTTAACATTAGCATTTCCACCATCGAGAAGCGCTATGAAATGAAGAGTTCACTGACAGGCCTGATATCATCGAGCTATGATATCTCCTTTTGCGTGTTGTCTCTGTTTGTGTCTTTCTTTGGTGAGAGAGGACACAAACCTCATTGGCTCGCCTTTGCATCCTTTATGATCGGACTGGGAGCTTTGGTGTTTTCCTTACCACAATTCTTTAGTGGAAGATATGAACTGGGATCCATTTTTGAAGGTAACATCTCTGTCAGGTTTTTGTTTGCATTAATCTCCATGATTACACAGAAATAGGTTTGTTGACACTGTGTACAGTAAGATTGGGTCTAAAGTCTCTCCCGCTGTTTTGTGTGAATTGTGTAAGGTTGAAGAGCAGAGAGATAGACTGTATGTTATTTATTACCTCAGTGGCTCTCTAGGTCTCTGATTCTCTGCTTCTCTTTTACCATATTGTGCAAGGTCCCCTTTCAAATAGAAAGGAACTCATGCTGTTTGCAGGTGTTGAGCTCCCTGAGATTCTGAGACTTGCAAGTTTTCTTTTGTACTCTTGTTATTTGCAGTGATAACAATGTGGTGGACTTGCACATTCCTGGGTTAAGACAAGACAGTTGAGTTGGCCTGTTGGAAGAGTTTCTCTCAGGACTGAAGTACCCTTTTCCTTTGGCTCTAGTCTGTTCTTACAACTTTAGAGTGACCTGCGGACTATGTTAACTTGAGTAAACAAAGTCCATTATTCAAAGGCTTGAGGAAATTTAATGAAACTTTTGATTAAGTAATCATTTTTAAATTGTAAAACAATTACACTGGAGTTAGCGGAAGCTGCTTATGAATTGTGGAAGTTCACCTTAACAGTTTTATGTCCTTTCTGGGATTGGCAATAACAAATATTGAGAAGCCTTTGGGGATTAGGCAACTGAGAAAAGTCCTGGAGTGAGAAAGGAGAAATTGAGATATTGCAGTATAGGCATTCTTTTTTCATTTTTGAAAAATTAGTTTTATATACATTGGTGTTTTGCTGCATGTTTGCTGCATATTGGATTCACTGGAACTGGAGCTATAGATGTTTGTAAGCTGACCTGTTGGTGCTAAGAGTTAAAGCCTGGTCCTCTGCAAGAACAGTCATTCATCTTAACCCCCTACACATATCACCAGCCCTTGCATTTCTTTTAAAGTTAATATTCTAATATTTTTGTGTTAACATAAAAATAATATTAAAGCAGGTTCAGTGGTTCAGATTATTGGCTGCTCTTACCAAAGACCTGAGTTTGGTCCCTAGAATCCACATAGTAGATTATAATCATCCATAACTCCAATTTCAATCGATCTAATGACCTCTTCTAGTTTCTGTGGGCACTGGGCATGCATGTCACACACATACACACATATAGACAAAATTTACATATGTATATATGCATATATAAACATTTAAAAATAATATTAGTATGTTAATGTTTCCCAAGACTGACAGACTTCCCAGTTGCATGATAATAAGGAATGAGACATTATTCCCAATAAAAAGGTTTGTGTTATGCACTTGGTTTTTAAGAGTGTACATTTTGTATAAGAATATTTCATCTAGACATAAAAATGGGAAACACAAGTATACAGAAGAAGAGAGGATGCACTTAAAAAAATGAAAATTTTCAAATAAATAGGATAGGAGAAGATACTGTCAGTGGACTGAGTTCTTAAGTGGATTCTTTATCTGACATTGGGCAATGTTGCACAAGATCGACCACATAATTTCACTGGGGGTAGTTTTAGGAACAAGGCACGCATTGCAGCATAGACTGTGCTGTTACACTTTGAAATGTAAACACTACAGTACATTCAAACCAACTTGCCTCTGCAGAACACATCCTACTGACTCTGATAGGGTAAATGTATTTATTTGTGTTTGCAGTGCTTGAGTCCGTACTGCTACAGTTAACCAGGTGCCTGTCTTCTTTGTTGGGTTTTTAGCACATGTGTGTGCATATGTGTGTGTGTGAGCATTTGCATGTATTTTTTTTTTTTTTTGGTTTTTTGAGACAGGGTTTCTCTGTGTAGTCCTGGCTGTCCTGGAACTCACTCTGTAGACCAGGCTGGCCTCGAACTCAGAAATCCACCTGCCTCTTGCATGTATGTTTTAATTTTTATAATAGAATTATAACGTTTTCCCCTCTGTTGCCTCTTTTCAAAACGTCCCACATACACCTCCTTGTTCTCTTCTAAGTTTAAGGCATAGCTTTTTAATTATTATTTTTTGTTACATCCAGATGCATATATGAATGCTTTTTTTGTTTTGTTTTTGTTTTTGGTTTTGTTTATTTTTTGTTTATTTTGTGGGTTTTTTTGTTTTTTTGTTTGTTTTGTTTGTTTTGTTTTGTTTTGTTTTGAGACAGGGTTTCTCTGTGAAGCCCTGGCTGTCCTGGAACTCACTCTGTAGACCAGGCTGGACTCGAACTCAGAAATCTGCCTGCCTATGCCTCCCAAGTGCTGGAATTAAAGGTGTGTGCCTCCACCCCCCGGCATGAATGTACATATATATTCCTAAATATAATCTCAGTCTGTATAACATTACTTGTATGCATGTTTTCAGAACAGGTCACTAGGTATAAGATTATTGCTGTGCTCATCTCTGAAGAAGATTATTCTCATTTTGTTTTGTTTGTTGTTATTGTTGTTGTTTGAAACGGGTTTCTCTGAGTAGCCCTGGCTGTTCTAAAAATACCTCTGAGTACTGAGATTAAAGGAGAATGCAATCGTGCCTGGATAACTCTCTGGTACTTAAAGAAACTTTGTTAGCAAGACTCATATTTTATCGAGTAGAACATAAGTACCTTTTCTACAAAACCTTGGTTTCTATTCCCGTGGTTTTCAGAGTTATCTCTTATAGTACACATCCTGAGTTACAATCAGTGTGAACTCTTGATATTCCAAAGGGGAAGAGCTACTAATTAAGGTGTTTCTAGGGCATGGAAACACTTGGCTCACAGCTGACCTGAGATATTACTGAGGCGAGAGCAGAAACGTTTAGTAAGTGTTGTGTATTAGGCAAGCTTGCCCAAAATCTTTATTGCTCTTGTCTATATTTTTCAATATTTTAGTAGATTAGACTGAGTAGTCCGTTGAAATAGGAAAATTGAGCTTGCCTTATGTTGCTGTGTCATGTCTATAATAAATATTACTGACATGGAGTACACAACACTGGAGATGGTGCCACATGTCTGAAAAACAAGAATCTGAAAAAACAATAGTAAGACATTTCACTTTTATTTGAGGAAGAATATATAACTAGCAAAAAAACAAGTTAATTGGAGGTTAAAAGTCTATTTACAAGTGTATTGCAAGGAAGGCTACAGTGCTGAAAGCTAGATAACGAGGCAACAATTTTCAGAGAGATTGTTCAAGTTACAGACAAACATGAAGGCATAGAAGATTTCAGGAATTGTCAATTGTGGCCAACACAGTCACACCAAGAGAGAAATGTGCTGTGAACTGAACGAGGGGAGCTGGAGCTCAGCCAGGCTGACCCCTTTGTATTTCCTTAGATCACCTGGGACCATGTCCTAGAATACGTAAGACGTGGTAGAACGGAGTCCAGAGTGGGAATCAAGACTGGGTTTTAACTTCAGAGGGAATGTTTATTATACCCGGTGTGCAATACATATATAAATACATACACACATACACACACACACACACACACACACGTTAGCTTAAATGTACAAGCCAATGCTTGAAGTATAAACACTGTACCAGAAAGGCATCCTAATTCTAAGTTTTAGTAGTGAGTGCCATGTTGATTTTTGAGGAGCGTTTTGTTAATTTCTCTTCAAACAGTTAGCTATTATTTTGAATTTTATGGGTGTTTTTCCTCAAAAAGAAAAAAGATGGTATGCACAGAGCAGAGGCAGAGAGATAGAGAGCTTACACTTAATACACATAGAATACAGGACTGAAATTGCATTATACATCTGTAAGAAGCCCTGCACTTAAACACAGAATGAATGTTGCTCTCAAAACCTGTTTTTTTTTTTTTTTGCTACTGTCTAGAACTTTACAGCAAATGATGCAGTGGCTTTATATTGATTTCATAATCAATAATTCCTAAAACAAATCCTACCTTTAATGCTCTGGTTTGTTTGCTTTAAGAGTTTATATTTATAACTCATAGTTTATTAGATATTGGATGATTTGAGATCTTTTTTTCTTTAAATTTAAATAAGTTATTCTTTCTGGACAGAAAGTATCATGTGGCTCAGGCTGACCTTGGACTATGTACAGCCAAGGCTGACCTTGAACTATGTACAGCCAAGGCTGACCTCAGAATTCTGATTCACTTGCTTTCACCTGCAGGAATTACGGACATAGGCATATGCCACCATTTGGGAGGGACTAAGCGTTGGTTCTGATAATAAGAGCCTCTTCCATGATTAGCTTCTGCTCTACCAACTGGGCTGAATTCTTGTCCCTTCTTCCTTAATTGAAGAAGCCAAGTATCATTTAAAAAATAAATCGTAACTTCATTGCTCAAATAAATTAATTCACTTTCACAAATATGGAAACATGGAACTAAAATCTAAATTATTTGTCTAACTGAGAAATATAGAAAAAGAAACAAACTGCGGATTTAAGTGGCAAAGAAAAACAAATGTGTTGAAAGCACCAATAAGTAAATTAGAAGCCTGAGGCCACAGTGTGTTAAGAAGTAATGAAGTACCTAAAGGGCACTGGGATTCACCTCAGCAGTAACTGCTTTTTGAATGCTATAGCAGGCAAAGTTCAGTTCCCAGCAGAGCATAAAGCGGGCAAGGTGCCACACGTCTGTATCTGAGCTCTGGAAGGTAGAGTCATCAGATCAGAAGTTCAAGGTCATCTTCAGGCTCCTGGGCAATTCATGGAGCATCCTGGAATACTTGAGAGGCTGTTTCACAACAACAACAACAACACCCACCCAAAACCCTTAATGTAAAACAACTTGAGAAACATGAAACTCATTTTGTTAACTGAAATCACCCCTGTGGTTTCATTTGAAATGAACTTTGAGGAAATTGAAAGCCTTGCATGCTTTGTTTGCTGAGATTTTTTTTTTCTCTTCCACTTGAGGGAAATCACTTTGGATGAGTTAATCTCTATGAGGAGATTAAAGTAATGTAATATAGTTAGTATGTAGATGAAAACCAAATATGAAATATGAGTAGCGTGTAAAATGTCTACAGGTGTGAGAAATGACACCAGAGGAGGGTGAGAGTC